GCTGGGGATAGACCTGCAGGTGAGGCGGAGGCAAGGATGTCCCCGGGGCAGCAGCTTCGAGGGCTGAAACACAGTATGTGTGTACTTGTGTATATGTGTATGTGTACATTGTACATGGGTGTGCACACGCTGGAACACGACAGGCACTAAGAAATGGCCTGTGTCCCAAGAAGCCTCAAATGCCAGGCTCAAGAGAAGTGAGAAGCTGTGCTAGAGGGCTGGAGCAGGGGTGCGCATGCTGGAATTGGAGGTCAGGAGCTTCTGTCTGGCCCCTGTGGAGATATGGGTGGAAAGGCTTCCCCTGGAGAAGGGGGCACCTTGGCTGGGCCAGAATGGGGTGGAAGGGCATTTTTAGAATGGGACTTCCTCCACTTGCAGCCGTTCCACTCCTCTGACCTCAGACGGAGGCAGCAGGGGTGTGGGTGGGAATAGCAGCAGAGCTGTCCAGGAGCCCAGGCTGGGCACAGGCTGGACACAGGTTCTGCCCGAGGGCTGACGAACACGCACCACTAGCAGCTGCTATTCCCGTTCCCCTGTTACAATTAGGGAAATGACAAGAGAAGACCTGGGAGCTGGCAGCCTGGGCACAGGGACTGGGGAAAGAGGCCTGTGGTGAGGCCAGCAGCTATGGGCCCGGCACTCGGGCACGGTGCTGTTTAGGGCCCGGCCTCACCCTGTTGGCCTTTGGTGTTCTCTACCCAGGGCTGGTAGGAAGCTGCATATCTCGGCTTGTCCTGTGCATGCTCTGAGTGCGTGTACTTCAAGGGCCTGTCCCCAGGAAGCGGTAGCTGGTGGCTGGTACCTACCAGGGTTGTGTTGTCACAGCGCCTGGCCAGAGGGGAACATGAGGCTTGGAGACGGGCACTGCCCTGCCCAGGGTCACACAGCTGCTGGAGCCAGGGCAGGGGGGGAAGGAAGCAGGGGCAGAGAACCATAAAGATGAGCCCCAAAGCACCCCTCCCATCCAGCCCCGGACTCGTCCAGCCACTCGCAGCGACTTTTCCTCCGTCCGTTCCCACGCCCTCTTGGCCCGTGTCTCCTGCCCCACCAGGATCCTGGTGCCCAGAGCCTGGAAATTTCCCTGGGCCTAGGAGAGATAAGGGGCGCCTTGCCCAGGCGCCTGGGCAGCTCCTGCCTGCAACCGCTTTGATCGCAGACCAGATGGTTCCACCAGGCCCTGCTCCTGGAGGAACAGACCACAGCCACAGGAGCAGGCCCAGGGAGGGGCCCGCCTGCTATCAGCCACCTGCAGGGGGCACCTCCTGTTGTCACCACAGCAATGCAGACACCCATTCCGGCAAACAGGAAGCTGCTCCTGAAGGATGGTGAGCAGGCAGACGTGGGGAGACCTAGAGTCTTTTATCTTCTGGAGGAAATGGCTGGGGGCAGGTCCTGGCTTGGGCCGCCAACCTCCTGTCTGTCTGCTGAGCGTGGGGGTGGGGGCACAGCAGGATGACTCCCAGACTCCCCAAATGTCCTGGCAGAGATCAGACTGTGGGAAGAAGTTCCCAGGCAGACTCCTTCCCAGGAGGCATCGGAGCTGGACACTTCCAGGCCGTGGTCCAGACACCCGTGACTAGATGTCCAGGACCAGGGCCCTGGTGCCCAGAACTTAACAACCCTGTAGAGCCGCTGACCTGCTGAGGGGCTCCTAGGAGCCAAGAGACTTGGGATTCGTGACTCACCACTGGTTTAGCTCTAAGATGGAGATGCAGCCTCTTTATAGGCTGATATGAAAGAGAACAAAAGAATCTATGAATGTGTCCAGGTCAAGAATAACCCAACTCCACTACCCTTCGGGGCCCTGCCTTGCAGAAAGAGCTGGGTCCAGCAGCCACACCGAGCTGACGAGGCTCCAGCCCACACAGAGACTGGAAAGGAGAGGAGAGGGGAAGGAGGCATACTCCTGCCCCATGCCAGGCCCTGAGCTTGCCATGTTGCTCTCCCTTCATTTTTCCAACTCCAGGACAGGCAAACTTCCACTCCACAGACAAGGGCACTGAACTGGAGGGCTCCCTTGCTGAGTTCCCTTGGCATCTTGAGCTGTCAGATGTACCCTGAGGGTCCTGGAAACCCAGGCTGGGGAATCAGCCCAGCTTGTGCAGAAGACGCTGGGGCACTGGCTGAACTCATCCCCTTGGCATCCCTGCTGGGCCCAGCAGCCAGGCAGCGGGGTCGCTGAGACCATCTTAGAGCCTGGGCACTGCCAAGGCCTGGCCTTACTGGATGAGGTGAGCCGGAGAGAGTAGGACCAATAATTTGGGTGATACTGCCCTTGTGCCCCTGACTTCCTTCCTCGGTGGGGCTTCTAGAATGTGCCAGATGCCTTGCCAGGGAGTGGGGTCCAGGGAGGACAAAGATAAGAGTTGTGCTCATTTAGAGCAGAGTCTCTGTGTGTGTGCATTTGCATGTGCATGTCTGTGCTCACGCATCACTGTGTGTGCATTGCACGTCTCTGCGTGTGCTTGTACTGCTGTGTGTACACTGCATGCCTCTGTGTGTGGATGTCCACGTCTGTATGCACATAGGTGCATGTGCTGCTAACAGCAGGGCCAGTGACAGAGCACAAGCATGTGGCAGCACCAGCTCTCTTCTCCCTTCTGCTCCTGCTCAGCCACTCCCTCGAGCCCCCCGGGGCTGGGCCTGCCTGGCAAGGGCTTCCCCTGTCAGACCAGTTGCCACAGAGCCCCTCCAAGGCCTCTGAATTCAAGCTCTCAGCCATGAGGCCAAGGGGGCAGGTGACCTGCTCCAGGTCACGAGGGAGTGAGTGATCCTTGTGTATGTTTGCTTCTCAGTCCCTGCCATATGCCCACCCCATGCCAACCTCTGCAGTGGCCATGGAGGCAATTCCTGCACTTCCTGACCTCAAAAGCCTCAGCCAGTCAGGGAGTCAGACAGCCAGCCAGCCAGCTAGCCAGCCAGCCAGCCAGCCAGCGACAGCACAGAGATGAGGACTGGTGGAGGTGGAGGCAGGCCCAGTTGGAAGGGTCACCAGGAAGTGTCAGGAACCTGCAGCTGAGGCCTTGCAAGGTGGAAGAGTTCATCAGCAGGGTAAGTGAGGGGAAAGCACTTGGGGCTGGATGTGCCACAGGGGCCCAGTGTGGAGGCTTGACCATGTGGAGTGTTAAGGTACCAAGGCTAGTTAAGGCAGAAGATACATGTGTGCCCACATGCCCACATGAACACATGTACACACACAGTGCCACACTTCCCCTGGGACCACAGCGCTTGTTTGAAACGACCCCGCAAGAATTCAGCTCATTAGGTTCTACTGGTGAGCAGGGAGCAGCTAGCTGGTGGTGGTGGAGGAGGAAGAGCTTGGTGAGATTTCCTGGGAGAAGAGGCGAGTTCCTGCCCCTAGGCCAGGGCCCGTGCCCTGTGTGCACTGATCCGGGGGCAGATTACAAGGGAGGCTGGAGCCAAAGCAGCTTTGAAAGGGAGCTGGAGGAGCTCAACCCTGCTTCGGGAAGTCACCTGGAAAAGCTCTGCCCCCTGCTTGGAAAGAGGCAGGGGGCTCCCTGTGGGCAGGCGAGAATGCCAGGCGTGTATGCCAGGTGTGTGTGTGTTTGGGGGTACATTTGTGAGTGATGCCATCTGTGGTGTGTGTGTGTAAAGTGCCCTGGTACTGTGTGTACGCCCACTCCCTGCCTCCCGCAGCCTTCTTTCCCAATCCTTAGCATCCTTCTGTGAAGTGTTCACCTTTCCTCATTCCAGGGAGGTGGACAGCAGGCCAGGGGCTGTCCCTAGGCTCAGGGCAGCAGCAGGAGATGGAAGCACAGCCCAGGGCATCGTGGGTGAGGCAGACACCGCCAAGACAAGTCAAGTGCTAGGGAAAGAGGCTAAACTGCCTGGGAGGAAGGGGCCAGCAGGGCTGGGGCAGCAAGCAGGGAGGGCATCTGGCCCTTGGGACATTCAGTTCCTCCTGAGATAGGCTCTGGCCTAAGATAGGCTCCTGTAGCTAATGGAAGAGGAATCCTGGGAGAGACCCATATTTGCCAAAGCCATGGCGAAAGGATGAAGTTGGCACTGGTGCTAACTGTGGGCAGCCCCTGGGGCTGCCAGGTGGGCATGGAGGCCTGAGAGGGACCTTCTATGAAGGAAGGTATAAACACTGTGGCTGGTACAGGCTCCCGGTACTTCCAGCTCATCCCTCAACAGGGTTCCTGGGGTTCATCTCTGTCCAGTTTCACCCGACAAATATGGACTTCTGAGAAGCAGATGTGGGAGACCATCCCATGGGTACCAGGATCTATGTGTATCCAGTCCCTCTGGGACAGCCCTAGTCTGGGTAGGGATGCTGGAGCTGGTCCCAGGTGCACAGCCCAGCTCTACAGTGGCTCCCACGCTGGGCTCCCCCAGGAGTCCTTGAACCACATCGGGCTGCTCTGGGAAGGCCTCTGGGGCATGGCGAGCAGGGCGGGAGGCTGCTTCTCCTTTGATTGTACTCCCTTAGAGGGATGCCCTCCTCCGCACCTGAGGCTGCAGAGAGACCCGGTGGGCGCTTCCAGCTGCTGGGCAGCGGGGGTGGCGGCCCTGGGAGCAGGAAGTGTCTTTCTCGCATGCACAGCCTTGCAGCTGGGTCTCCCTGACCGAGTCACCTAGGGGCCCCAGGGCTTGGCTCCCTCTGTCACACGAGCTTCTTGTCCTGTCTGGGTGAGCCCCAAAGCACATGACCAGTCTTGGACTCATACTCGCTTCCCAGACTCTGCATCTGCCTGGGTTCCTCTGCAGTCAGCTCCCCTGTGGCTCTGGCCTTCTCTTCCTGCCCGGGCTACAAGACAACTGCCTCCTCCTGCTCCACACTCCTGAATTCCCCTCCAGGTGCTATATGGATACACGAGTCTCAGATATTTGTTTCAGATTTTTTTGTTGTTGTCGTTTTGGGAATGGTTTACTTCACTGAGCATAATGGTCTCCAGTTGGCACCGTTTTGCTGCAAATGGTGGAATTTCGTTCTTTTTTAATGGCTGAGCAGCATTCCATGGAGTAGATGTACTTTTAAAAATGTGGAATGCTTCACTAATTTGTGTGTCATCCTTGCAAGGGGCCTTGCTAATCTTCTCTGTATCATTTCGACATTCTCTCTGATATAAGGCAACTTGAAAACTACAAAACAAATTGATGTGTATAGGTAAACATGTATACATGTATATTCTCATTGATGAGCTGTAGAACGCAGACCAGCATACCAGGAAGTGAAGCTACATTGCAGTAGGCATCACTACTCCCAAATGAAATGAGGACTCCCAATGAAACTTCTGAATGTACCTTGATAATATGATACTAGATTTTCTATCATTGCCTACACCTGTAATGCATGATTCACTTAAATAACAAAATGATGAACTCCTGGCTGTTGCTAAAATAATAGAGGGGAACGTGGTGGGGGTCGGAGGAAGAGAATGGGAATGGGGAGTCTGTATATCTGTAAAGCCGTATCACAGAAAATAATAATACAAAAATACACAAAGTATTTTTCTAAGGCAGCATTGCAGAAAGAGAAGGAGAGAGATAGAAAGAGAGGTCTTCCATCACTGGCTCACTCCCTAAATGGCAGAACAGCTGGGGCTGGGCCAGGCTGATGCCAGGAGCTCGGAACTCTGTGCAGGTGTCTACGTGGGTGCAGGAGCCCAGGCACTCAGGCACTTTCTGCTGCTTTCTCCGATGCATTAGGAGGAAGCTGGATGGAAAATGGAGCAGCCAGGTCTTGAACCAGCGCATATGGGATTCTGACATTGCAGGTAATGGTTCTACTGTCTTAGCCAACCCCAAGCCTCAACAATTTCATCTTTCCTTCAGTTCAGGGGACAGAAAAGCTCAGCTTTTAGGCAGGGCAGAGGGTTTGCCCAGCAAAGTGGTCACCAGTGGGCAGGTTCACATCAATAGCCAGAGAGAGGCTGGACTCCTGGCCACAGGTGAGGTTAGCTGTCAAGGCTGAGAAGGCCTCCTGGCAGGTCCTGGCAGGACAGACAAGCTGCAATGCCAAGGCGTGGCTGAAAGGAAGGCAGGCAGTTCTGGGCAGGGCAAGGTGGCCCTTGGGACTTGCTTAGGCCTGTCTGTCTTCAGCAGGAACCCCCAACATGACCAGATGCGGGCAGGGGACCTGAGCGAGGAAGACACATTGTCCATCAACAGGGTGAGCAAGACCACCGAGGACGTGGGTCAGGGCAGGCACAAGAGCCTTCCTCGAGGCTCACCCACTAATTTTACCTCCTCCCTCAAGGTTAAATCTACGGGCCTATGTGAAGGCTGAACACAGTGGGGTACCACAAGGGGAGCTGCCTGCCACAGGCAGCCAGAACTTAGAGCTTACTGATGGGGCAGTAGGGCAGAGGGAAGAGAGGCCTCGGCTGCTGTCCCTGGGGCAGAGAATAGAAGCAAGGCAGATGATCAGGTAGGGCTTGGGGCTTGGGGCAGGGATGGAGTGGGTGTGGGGAGATGGCCACAGGGGTGTGTAGGGGTGTCCTCTGCATCCGCCTTCAGCCTGTGCTCCCTGCCCTCTCTCGTGCTCAATCTCGGGCACCACCAGGGTTAATGTTTCCCCATTTAAATGGGTGGTTCTCCCTGCCCTGGGGTGCAGGGGCAAGCCTTCCCAACCGGCTGGCTCCAGGTTTTTCAGCTCCCCCTCCTTGTACCCACTCCAGCCCTTGCCAGCTGCTATCTCCCTGCCCCATGGCTGTTCAGTGTTGATCTGTTCATGTTCCAACCTTCCCGTACCCTACTGGACCATATGCTCCTTGGGATGGGGACTCTGGCCTGTTATGTCCTGCATTGGGTCCTCAGCACTTCGAAGGCGCCTGGAGCGTACTGGGTACAATACAATGCCAGGAGGAGGGGTCCTCCTCTTCCTGGAGTTCTTTCCCACCAGCCCACACCCTCCTTTGTTCCCTGTCCATCTCTTTTCTGGCTAAAGTGAGATGCATCTGGAGAAAGGCATTCATCAAAGACTCATGCACCTGCAGCACTAGCGGGTCCAGAGAGTTGGAGAACTGTGTCCCATCCACAGCTTCTCAGAGGGGCAGCTGATACCTGCCACCCAACCCACCGAGTCCACAGTGGTGGAAGGACATACCAGCCACGGGGCTGGCTGAACCATCCATTGGAAAAAACACAGTTTTATTCTTCATTATGTCATATGTAATTGGACCCCAAATTATCACTCAGGAGCTCCATCAAATAAAAGTGCCCGTTAATTTCCATTATAGTCACTGGGAAGGAGGGCCCAAGTTACTATTAAGGGATTAAGACGTTCCAGCCTGGTGCTGCAAATCCACAAAATGAGTGCCTAATTATACAGCGAGGTGTTCTGTAAACCCACTCATCGCAATCATAAAATGAACAATCCCTGGACCGAGCAGGACTCCTGGCAGTGCCAGTTGCTCCATGGCTATGCCAATGGAGGCTGCTAACACTTCTACCTACGTGTGCAGAAACTGGGGGTGGATGAGACAGGGCCCGGGGACTCCTCCGAGGGATACTCAGGGGAAGGCAGTCATTGACCTGCACCTCTTTGGTGGTCAGTGGTAGCCATGACATGTCAGAACTAGAGAAAAAGTCCAGGGTCAGCACGAGAGGCCAGATGAAGAACTCAGAGTGGCTTTGTGCAAATCGCATCACCTCCCAGAAACTCAGCCTCCTCCTGGGATCCAGAACCTCTGCCTCCCGGCACCCTTGAGAAGCTGCTTGTGCACTGAAAGGTTCACAGGACACACAGTGGCCAGGTCTGTCTGTGACTGAATTAATGTAGCCTGTGTGAGAAGTGACACTCACTCCTGTGTGGTTTTTGTAGGAGACTACCACAAAACCTTCTTGGTGATATACTAGGAGGCCTGGAAACAAAGATCTCCACACCTAGCAGCGGGACCCCAAAAGCCTTGAGACCTAAGCCACTGTGTCCCCCTTCTAAGCCAGCCTGGGAAGGGGGCAGCCACAGCAGGTGCAGGTGAAGGTGTTCTGATGGGGAACAGCTGCCCGGTGACCTTGACCTAGGCTGGGCCACCCTTGTTGACTGACCCAGTCCCATACCCTCATGCAGTGGGATGAGAGGACTCAAATTTGGACATGTTGCCCCAGTGGCTGGGGACTTTTCTCCCGAGGCTGAATTTGAAGCCATTGCCAACCTCTCCACTGGGCTGTAGTGCCCTCTCCAGCCAGGTTCCATTCTCAGTCATTCTTCATTTGTTCATGCATGCTTCATTCACTCACCTTGCTCATCCATTCTTGACCCGTTTGCTGATTCACTCACTTTCTCACTCACTAATCCCAATAATGTTTTCACTCATTTATTTATTTGTTCATTTACTTACTCATTCACTCACTCCCTCATTCACTAATTCATTTACTCATTCATTGATTCACTGGAGTTAGAACACGGGTGCATCACGTGGTGAGAATGTTCTAAGAAAATCAGCAGGGGTTGAAGCAGCACGTAAGAAGCAGGGTCTCTTCCATGGACGACACAACTGGGGTGTCGGTCTGAGAGAACACTGGGAAGACTGAAGCCCCAGGGAGGGAGTGGAGGGCGGGGATTCCACGCTGGAGTGGAGGGCAGGGTAGAGTGGTGGAGAGGAGACCAGGAAGGAGCCAGCCAGCTCCGCAGGAGAGCGCCCAGCAGCACACTTGGGGAACCCAGCACTGGCCTTTCCCTGGGTCCTGGGGAGGACAGAGCAGGTACACAGGGATCCCAGGGGACCTGCCAAATGCGGCTCTGCGGGGCCTGTGGGGCAGGAGGCACGGGTGCCAATTCCACACGCTGAAACCAGAACCATGAAATCCTGTTAGCACAGCTGGAGATGAACTGAGCGCAGCCTTAGAATGGGGGTGGGGGGAACCGAGGTTTGACCAGGAGGCTGCTGCACCTGGGGCAGGGTGAGCACTGGCTGGCTCGTGGGCTCCCCGGCCAAGGTGCCATCAGGAAAATGAAGGAAGAAATCCTGCCTCAAACCCACAACCAAAATATTTCCGAAGAACCTCCCTGCCTCTTTGTCAAAGAAAGGAGACGCATGGACTTTCTACTTGTAACCTGGCCAAGAATAATTTGTGGCAGGAAAGTTTGAGCATTTGTCAAAATAAAATAAAAATGTGGAAAAAAAAAAAAAGGAGAGCACTTGAGTGTACATTTGTGTGAAACTAAACAGGGAAAGTTATTTAGGTGGTAAAATGTCTCTGGGTTTCCCTCCTGCCCCCTCGCCCTGACACCGGGCCCCCTCCCCAAGTGTTGAAATGGAGATTGTTCCAGTATTTGTTTTGTTAATCTCCCGCCAGGGCCAGGGGCTGCGGGCTGGCTTTCCTCTGGTTCACGCGGGCCTTGGCTGTCAGTCCCCAGCCAAGACCCAGTGCACCTGTTCCCTGCCTGTCTGGGAAGTGGGGTTTGGAGGGGCACAGAATTTGTTCTCTAAGAGACCCCCAGCTCTGTGAGAATTTATCTCTTCCAAAAGTCCCTGCAGCCCTGGGTGGGACCAAGGCTTCCTGGGAGTGCCAGACCTGTTGGTGGTGCTGGAGAGGGTCCTACAGCAATGATTAAGAGAACCCGGTGTTACTGAGTCCTGACTCAGTCACTTGGCCTCTCTCTGTGCGAAATGGGGGTAAGGACAGCAGCTGCTCACGGCACTGCTGGGGGATGAAAGGAGCTCCCAAAGGGTGGGAGCAGACTACTGCCTGGCACACAGTAACTGCTTACTAGAGTGGCCAGTATGCTTGTTTGCTGCTCATAGGCCTGAAGCTGCAGCACAGGCTTCAAGGGTATGGCACTTTGCTTATCTGTGACTCAGTTTTCCACTCTGTAAAATGGGCATTATGGCTCTTTCCACCTTCTGGTGCTATTTATGAGTGAGTTAAATAGCTCCCTGGGGCAGCGTGGAGCACAGGGTAGGAGGTATGGAGGTGATACCGCATGTTCGCTCTACATCCCTTTTCAGTTCTGTAATCAATTAAACAAAGAGAAAGAAGCAGGTGCCTCCTGTCCACCAGGCCTCGGGGCAGACACTCCTGATGTGTTCCCTCCACTGGTCTGCTTGGACCCAGTTTTCAGAGGAAGAAACAGGCCTTAGCAGACGAATGGCAATGCTGGGAGTTGAGCTCAGGTCAGGGCCGTTGCTTAAGGCTAAG